ATATAATATATAATATATAATATATAAATACAAAATTATAATCTTTTTTAATATTATTTTTTAAATAAAATAATTAAATAAAATATTATCTTTAATTATTTTTTATCTATAAAAATTTGATGTAATAATAAAATAATTAATTTTTTATTTATTTTTATTATAATTTTTATCATTAAAAAATAATATATCTTATAAAATAAATTAACAAATAAAGAAAATAATTTTTTATGATTTTTTTTTATATATGATATAAAAAATATGAAAATATTTTATATTGAAATAATCATAATTATAATTTTCAATTAATATTGATAATATTATTATTTATTATCTTTTTAATCTAAAATGAAAAGAAGTATAAAATAAAAATTTTATATAATTAAAAAAATATTTTTTTGTAATATTTAAAAACATATATAGTTAAAAATTAAATATATTAAAACAAAATTACATATTAATAATTTAATATACATATAGAATAATTTTTTTATATTTTTAATATTATAAAATAAAAATAAATTTAACCAAATATAATAATATATAATTAATCAAAATAATTATATAATTTATATTAAAAATATGTTTTATTATATAAAATATTATTTAAAATAAAATGATAAAATTAATTATTTATTTATATAATATAAAAATATAATTAAGAATTAATTAAATTTCTAATATTATTTTATATTAAAATACTGAAAAAATTAAAATTATTTTTAATATATACAATTAATAATAATATTAAGTATATTAATTTTATTGTTTACAATAATTTAATACAAATAGTATTATTATTTTATATTTTAAAATTAATAATATATATTAATTTTCTTTTACTTTTTTAAAATTAAAAATTTTTAGAATAATCATATTTTTATAAATATATAAATTAATAAATTTTATAATATATAATTTATATATTTTTATGATTATTTTATTTCAAATTATTTTTATTTCAATATTTTATTTATATCTTTTTTATATTTTAAAAGAAATTTAAAACATAAAATAAAAATAATTTTTTTTTTTTTTTTAATTAAATATTTAACTTATGTAAAAAAAACAACTAAATGTTAATATTTTATATATATAAAATTGATATTTTTTTAGTTTTTAAAAATGAATATATTTTATTTTTAAGATATAAAATATTTATAAACTTAATCTATTAAATTTTTAAGATCAAATTAGTATATATTAAGTAAATATATAAAATTTAGTATTTAAGAAAATGTTTATTGCTTATAATATCTATTAAACAAAAATATTTTCAATAATTTTATCTTTAAAATATTAGAGAATAAGAATAGTTTTTAAGAATAAATGCAATTTATTTTTAAACAAAAATTCCAGGACATGCAAATTAAATTTTTATAATGAAGCTTTAGCACTTATATTTGCTACTCACATAGACAGCCATATTATCTGATAAGCTGTGCATACACTATAACCTGCATAGAAACGAGAATCACCACTATAGTAAAAGTGAACCCTTTAATTAATACATAATGTGTCTATAAGGAAGTGCAGTAAGAAAAGGACAAGAACGTTATATCATATATCTATATTAGCAACAGTATTTTATACAGTTACACAGACAAAAGATCTTTTTGCTTAACAAGCTATGTATGAGCACGCACCTGCATTAAAAAGACGAGCTCGATTATAGAAAAAGTGAGATATACAATTAGCAAATTCTGGGATTACTGCTATATAATTTGCAAGAACTACTTAATTATCAGCTTATCTACATATATTTTAGTTTCAGTAAGAGCAGGACATTGCTAATTATTAAAATAGTTAATAGATAATGAATTAATCAAAAAAACTAAAATGTTATTATAAATTTTTTTAAAATAAATTCCTATTATTTATTAATTAATGCCAAATAAGAAATAATTAATAATATTTTATATATATTGTAATTTTTTTATTTATTATATTATTTACACACATATTTTAAAAATTATATTTTTAATACCTTAATCTTACTATTAATTTTTAATCTTCTTTATCTTCTATAATAAATAAATAGAAAAAAAACATTAATTATATAACATTATATAATTATATATCAAATAATTTAATTATATAATTTAAATTAGAAATAATTTTATATTTAATTATATTTTTTTGATATTTTAAAAAATAATTTAATATAAAATTAATTTAAATTTAAAAATATAATAATATATAAAAAAAATAATTATAAATATATATAAATAAATGATAAATAAAATTTTATCTATATAAATATCATAATCATATATTTAATTAATTAATAAAATAATTAAAAAGAGTTGATTATAATCTAATTATTTTTAGCTTTGATTTAATCATTTTTTTTTAGATATAATAAATATATTTAATAATCTTTTATTTAAAAATATAATCTTTAATATTGAAATTATTTTAATTACAATATAATATATTAAATTTAAACTGAATATTAATTATTATAAATTACTAGAGTTTTATTTAAAATTCTTCAAAAACATATAGAATATAATTTAATTTAGAAATTTTTTATCTGAGTAAAATAAAAAATAATGTTTTATTTATTATTATTGGCCAAAATATTATTTTTATTATTTATTAAAATAAACTATATATGTTTATATTATATAATATATATATTATGCACAATAATTATTTTTTTATTATTTATAAAATATTCTTATGCAAAAAAAACTAATAAAAATGTGTTATTATATTTTTCTTGTACAAAAATTAATTTAATTTAATTAATAATTATAAAATAATTAACTTCAAATATTAATTAATAATTACAGTAAATTTATTTATATTTTAACTAAATCAAATTTATTTTAATAATTTAAGAGTAAAAAATTATAAAATTTAAATAATAATCATTGTTTATAATAATAATTTTATTCAATAAGAATTATAATAAATAGAGAGCTTTTTTTTTTATAAAAATTATATATTTTTTTATAATATTAACTAAGATAATAATTTATATATTTTTTATATAAGAAATTATAAAAATTAAATAAATAGAATAATCTATATAATTTACATAAATCAAAAAGAAAATATAATATATTTTTATAATAATTTTTTAAATTAATATCATTTTATCTTTAATTTATTAAAAAAATAATTTATTTATAAAATTTTATAAATAATAATTAATAAATTTATAATAAGTTTTATATATAACCTATTTAAATAAATAAATAATTTATATAAAAACATATTATATTATAAAAAATGCTTATATTTATTAAAAAAAAATATTTTTTTTTTTTTTAACAAATAAATATTTAATAATTTTTTTAAAAAAATAAAATATATAAAAATCATATTTATAATTTTATTATATTTTATATTTATGATTATTTTATAAAAAATTTATCTATTTTTTATAACTAAAATATATTAAAAACATATTTACAAATTAAAGTTGTTATTAACGCAAAACGCTTAATCCATTTTGCTTTAAGAACAAAGTTTTTGATAATAAATTATTTTATAAATTAATTATTAATAAAAAAATATAATTTCAATTAAAAAACATTTAAATTTAAAAAATTAACAATTCAAATGTTTTATTAATAAAAATACTATAATAAAATTGAAATGTAAATAAAAAATAAAATATAATAAATTATTTATGTAACAAATAAAAATAAAATCAAAAATATTATTTCTCGTTACTTAGATAAATTTGTTTTGTCATTTATAAATAATATATTAAATATATTATAGTAATATTTTTTTATTTATTTATTAACTTAAATTTAATAACTAATAAAACAATTATTTTTGTAATTACTTATTTTAAATTATTAATTCTTTAAAATATAAAAGTAAAAAAATTAAAAAAAGTATAATTAGTATTAATTATATCTATTATTTATATTAAAAATAATATTTTATATTTAAAATTAAAATATATAATAATTAATATATATGTAATATTTATTATATTTTATATTTTATTAGTCATAAAAAATAAAAATAAATAAATAATAAGGAAAATTTCAAAAGTTATGAAAAAACAACTCTGCATTAAGTAGCCATAGATGCAGAAGTACCATAATTAGCTTTAGCTCCTTAAATTAATATATTAGGACAAGGAAAACATATATCAATACCTGCTACCCAACTTTAAGGCTTAGCAGTATAAAAATTAGGAGCACATTTAACACATTCAGATTTATCATTTTCAAAAGTTGCTTTTCCATCTTAAACCACAGTGCCAGAAGGACATTAAACTTCACATTATACATCTTTTTTAGCATTTTTTCCTAAATTCCGTACACCACCAATAATTTTTTTTACAGGACAAGGTTTACATGTACTTTCGCCATCTATAAAGTTATCTGAATCAAAGTAAAAGTGAATATTACATCTATTACATTCTTTTTTCTCATTATAAAAATTAGTTTCTCCATGCATACTTACTGTTCCGGTAGGGCAAGTGACGATACATTATTTTTCTGATGTAGCTTCATAACCTATAGTTGCTAAAGAACCAGAAGTTTTTTTTATTTAACATATATCACAATAGGAATCACCTGGTTCGAAATCATTTATTTCGATAAAGTAATAATAGTCAGCTTTACAAAAATTACATTCTTGTTTTTATGCTATATAAAAAGTTTATCCATTTTCAGTTTAAGTACCATAAGGACAATTAATGTCACATTAAACAGCTAATGTAGCTATACCACCAGGATTAGCTTATTCACCCTCATATTTTAAAATTTGGCATTCTTTGCATACACTAACACCAGGTATGAAATTATCACCATTAAAATAATAATCAATTTTACAGTTAACACAATTTGCTGGATTTCCTGAATCATCATCTATACCAGCAACATTAGTTTCAGTACCCTCTGGGCAGGGTAAAAAATTAAATTAATTGATAAATAATGAAATAATCAAAGATATTTATATTATTTTTTACATTTATTATTTTTAATAATATTTTAAAAATATTTTTTTTATATAATTAATTATTTGATGTATATTAAATACAAAATTAAAATATTTATAAAATTTTATTTTTTAAATATAAATAAAATATTTTTTTTAATTATTTTTTATATACATTTTATCTATAAAAATATGATGTTATAAAAAATCTATTAATTTTTAAATTATTTTTAATATAATTTTGTTTATTTAAAAAATATATCTTATAAGATAATTTAAAAAATAAAGATAATAATTTTTATATCATTATTGTAAATTCATGATAAACAAAATTTAAAAATATTACATATTGAAAAATCTAAATTATTTTTTCCAATTCATAATAATTATGGGGTTAATAAAAAAATAGATAAATATTATTTTGATATTTTTTCAAAAAAGTATTTTATCATATTTATATTATTATTAAATAATAAAATTATTAATTTTATATTTATTTTTATCTTTATTAAAAAGAAATACAAAATTAAAATTAATGTTATATTTATATATAAAAAAATTAATTATTTGTAATTTTTTTAAACATTATATAGTAAATATATATATAAATAATTTACATAACTATTATTTAATATAAACATTTAATATTTGTAGTTTTAAATAATTGATAAAAATATTACCAAAAATAAATTTATATAAAAAAAAGAAGTATTAAAAATTATTTAAATTTATAAAAAATTAATTAAATTTATAATAAAAATATTTTTTTTAAAAAATAAATAAATATATTAATAAAAAAATAATAAATTAATTTATGTATATATATATATTATAATAACATTAAATATAATTTTTAAAATAATTAATTTTATTATATATTTTATATAAAAATAAACTAAAATATATAATATTATATTATAAAATATATAATTAATAATTTCATCACATATATTTTTTTTATTTATTAATACAAATTTAATTTTAATATTATATATATTAATAATTTTTATTTATATATTTTTTTCTTTTTATATTTTTTTTCTTTTTATATATAATTCATTATTTTTTTTTATATAAAAATGTTATAAATATCTTATTTTATTTTTATATGAATTAGAATTAGATTATACATGTTTAAATATTTATATGAAGATTTCATTTCAAATTATTTTTTCTTTTAATAATTTTTAATTATGAATATTTTAATTTTTGTATTATTTCAATAGAAAATATATATACTTAAATAAAAAAATATTGGTTTCTTAAATGCATATATAAATGCTTATTTATGTAAATTTATAATGCTGTTCAGTTTCTTTTCATATAATATTTTATAAGATATTAAAAATTTATGTATAAAATTTAAATAATAATTTAATATTTTTTAAGTAATAAAAAAAAGAAACAAAAAATTAATTTATTAAAAAATATAAATTATAATATTTAATTTCTTTTATTTCAAATAATAAAAAATTAAGAATTATATTTTTTTAATATATAAAAAAAACATAAACTTTTGAATTTGTAAGAAGTTAGAATGAGTGAATATGTAAAATTTAGTATTAAAAAAATTGTTAACCTCCCTAACAATCTATTTAACAAAAATAACTTAAATAATATTGTCTCTAAAAAAAATTAGAAAATAGTTTTAAAAGATAAATAAATACTTTTAAGTTTTTGTAAAATAAATCCTTTTAGTACTATCAGTACATTCAAATTAAATTATGCGGTTAGTATTGAAGCCTTAACACTTTGAGTTGCTACACATAGACAGCCATATAAGCTGTGCTTACACAATAATCTGCATAGAAACGAGTATTACCACTATAGTAAAAGTGAACCCTTTAATTAATACATAATGTGTCTATAAGGAAGTGAATTAAGAAAAATGTATGAGCACGCACCTGTATTAAAAAGACGAGCTCGATTATAGAAAAAGTGAGATATACAATTAGCAAATTCTGGGATTACTGCTATATAATTTGCAAGAACTACTCAATTATCAGCTTATCTACATATATTTTAGTTTCAGTAAGAGCAGGAAATTGCTAATTATTTAAATAGTTAATAGATAATGAATTAATCAAAAAAACTAAAATGTTATTATAATTTTTTTTAAATAAATTCCTATTATTTATAAATCAATGCCAAATATGAAATAATTAATAATATTTTAAATTGTAAATAACTCAAAAATCTTTTTTTTAATATTTATTCTCTTATAAATTACAATTTTAATAATGTATATATAAATATTTAATATGTTTTATATTTATTAGAAAAAATAACACAATAATTTTTAAATATAATATTTTTTTATTTTATAAAATAATTAAAAAATGATTCTTATTTTGAAAAACATTATATTTAAATTAAATAAAACTCAAAAAAAAATAATAAAATTTATATATTATTTATATATATTATATTTTTTATTTTAATTATTTATTAAATGTATATAATTTTTATTTTAGTCTTTATTTTAATTAATTATTATTATTATTATTATTATTATTATTATTACTATTATTATTTATTAAAATAAATATATTTTTCAATTATATCTTTTTTTTTACTTTTTTTTTTATAATAAATTTTTAATATTTTTTTGCATGAATAATTTTTTATAATAGTGATTGCTTTTGATAAAATATAATATATTAATAAAATAATTTAAACTCATATAATATTATATTAATTATTCATAAATATTATTATTAATTTTTTTTTTTTATTAATTATAAATAATATTAAATTTTATATTTTTACTATTTTATTTATATTTCTTATATTTTTTTGCTAAATTTTATATTTAAACATATTAGTATTTTTTTTTATTTTTAAAATATTATATACTTAAATTTTTTTTATATAAAAAATATTAACCTTTTAAATAAAATTAAAAACTTAAAGTTAGAGAAATATTATATTTATGTAGTAAAATATATGATATATATATTCTAATAATCAAAATATATGAATTAAAATATTAATTTATTTTTATAATCTAAAATTTCAAAAATCGTATAAAATTCTTACTTAATAATTAATTTTTTGGTTCTTAGTCTATTATAATTTAATCTAATAATAAAATATTTGTATAAAATTTTTTCAATAATTTTATTTTATTTAACATAGTTAATGTTAAAAATCATAAAATTAAATTTTTAAAGTTACGTTTCCTTTTATATAAATACACAACTTATATTAGGATATTTTTACAATCTTTTCTTATAAAATTTATGTTATTTTTATTTAATTAATTTTTTGGCATTTATATAGTTATGAAAATATTATCTATTTATTATGTTAAAAAAATACAAATATTTTTGTTTTTTATTAAAAAAAATTTTTTTTCATCTACTTAATCTAATTAAAATATGATATAGTGAAAATTAATAAAATTTAAATGTTTCATTTAATAACGTAGGTTTTATAAAATAAGAAACAAATCTTATAAAAAGTCAAAATTAATAATATATTCAAATTTTTTAATAAATTATTTAAATTATAAATAAATATATATATAATAAAATAACAATTTATTTGTATATTATAATCTTTAAAAATATAATTTTGATGTAAAATATTAAATTTTATGATATTTTGTAAAATTTATTTAAATTAGTCGCATTTAAATAATGATTTTATATATTTATATTAATTTAATATAGTAATACAAAATAAATTATTAATTTTTTTATTTAATTAAATTAATTTTATAAAATAGTTAATATAAAGAATTTAGTTGAATTAATTTTGAAAAAAATATATAAAAATTAAATATTTTAGAAGAAAAAACTTATTTTTTATATTTATATAAAATAAAATACAAATTAATTTATTATTACATATAATAAGGATTTTTTTTATTATTTAATGTAAATTAATATTTAATAATAATAAAAAAAATATTATAAAATTTAATATATTTTGTAATTTATATAAAATATAAATATAATTATTTATTACTTTTTTTTTTTTTTCTTAAATTTAAAAAAGATTAAAATATAAATTATTTATGTAAAAATAAAATATAATTAAATTTTAAAATTTTTAAGAATTAAATTAAACTTTTTTATTTTAAAATATTAAAATTTATAATATTTGAATTATCAAAATAAATAAAATATAATTTTTTTTAATATTCATAATAAAAAATATTTTATTTTTAATATTAAATATATATTTTTGTTTATATTATTATGTTATTTTTAAGAATAATATATCTTTTTTTAAAAAATAAAAATTGTAAATATAATATATATAATGATTACCTTTTATATTTTGTTAATAATTAGAATTTCATAAAAATTACTAAAAATAATATAAACAAACATACATATATTTTTATCAAATAATATAAATATTAAACCATAAATATAATTAATTATCATTATTTAAAATAAGAAAAATTTAATAGACTATTTAATATTTTATTTTTTAAAAAATAACTTTATTAAAAATTTTTTTAATTAAAACAAATAATTAATACTATATATATTAAATTTGTAAT